TATGCCTTGGTACCAAGCAATTTCAGCCGAAAGTAATAATTGACTTTTAATTAATTAGGTTCTGTCAGTCGAATAAACACCACTTAAAAAAGTCGAACTAAATGCGCATTAATGCAGCCAGTCGAATCCGCTATTACTAATGTATTTTTGTTGTTGTATGGAGCGCTGTCCACGAAGATAAAAACCTTGTTGTGGGCCTAAAAAACTTATAACAAACTTTCAATGTCAAGTTATACTTGTAAAAAGGGTGTTAAATAAAACTTAAAAATATAACAATTACTATTTATTAATCAATAGTTTACAACGCTACGATAAACAATAGAAAACATGAATAAAAAATCTATTTCAAATAGATTAATCTGGATTATCGGGATTTTCGTATCACAAAAATGTATGAAAAATACCGTGGAATGTATAGTTAGAGAGAAAAATAAATGAATACCTGCGATTGAATATAGTCATTTAAAATAATTTCTCCCGAGCTACAAAGGACAAAAGGAGGCACTGTGTTGCAAAACAGTTTACATGGAACAACAGTTCACAATATACTCAATGACACCTTGGAATTTCCATGTTATTAAGCAACGAACACTACAATAAGACCGTTCACTGTCATTATTGAACTTTTATTAATCATATATTTTAACTAGAAATAAGTGAATTTCCATTACTGAAATGTCCTTAATTTTAGCGATAATATCTTAACGGCAAAATACAAGACAAAAGAGTTTATAATCTTTTTAATATTATATGATTAATACAAGTTCAATAAAAAATTTATTAATACCGTGTTGATTAATAGTATAATTACATGACTTAAAAACCCTGATATGTAGAAATGACAAAATTTACATAACAACAATAATGTTACTCCACTAACAGCCTAATTCACAAATGATCTCTAAACGTACCTATCTGCTAGTTACATATCTGCGAACTAAAATAAATGTCTAATAGAGTTGGGCGATATTTCAAAACTGTTATTTAATATCAATAAGTTGACATTCTATACATGTTTTTCTATCGATTTCATAAATGATTTTTTAGAAAAATATTAACGACTATCTCCCTAGACCAAATATCAGCGACTATTTCTCTAGAGAAATAGTCAATATTTGGTCTAGTAAAATAGTCGTCTCAAATATAAAACGATCTTGATTAATATTTTTGTTGTTGCTAAATTTCTCGAACATTTTACAATTTGATTCTACATAATTTTGGCATTAATAAAAAATTGATTAAAGCACTCGAGCTCTAATCAGATTATTAATGCCAAAAATTATGTCTTATCAAATTGATATAAAAATATTCTCGATATTTAGATTCAACAAAAATAGCCAGCTATTATCAAGGTCTTGGTATATTACCCTTTAATATTTATTCTTCTTAGTCCTTTTTTGGTCTATATTCATAAGACAATTTACCCAGCTAACTTTTTTGCTCTAAGTAATAAAGCCCCCTTAAAATTTGATAAAAACTCAAATGTTCATACACTCTGATGATTATCTTAATTGACAGTTTCCTGAGACCGTAACTCACAATTCTGAGACCGTAATTTAGATACTGACCGAATCGGAAGTATTAACAAATATTTAATTTGGTAATGATTTATTTGAAGAAACATATCATTATTTAATTTAATTTTACTAATCACAATAATCATTCACTGGTCTGTAAAATATTGTGAATTAGGCTATAAGGGTAGGTAATACTAATATTAACAAAAATTCTCAAAAAATGCGCTACGGCTTTGACCGTTTTAATAATAGTGCAGGGTGGCCACTTGTTATCGTAATCATAAAAATATAATGATGACTTTAAAGCCCATAATAACAGTGAATTATTTTCCTAGTTTATTAATATTTTTTCTAACGATTTACTCTTAAACTGTGATGTAGATTATTTGCCTATAATTTACTAAAAAATATAGTATAATTTTAAGTTATTTCTGCCGTCATAAGCAAAACCTCAGTAACTACGCAAAAGAAATTTATTAATGTCAGCATTTTGATAAATAGTACCAATATAGCTGCATTTGTTGGATAATGCTTTAACTAATTAAAAATAAGTTTGTTTTAATTTTTTGTGTTGGCTTGTAAGTTAAAAGGTTTTTGCTAAGAATGTTCTAAAAAAATATTAGTAGAATCAAGTTGACTTTTTAGGATACATAATAAATATTACCGGGATCTTGTTTACTTTTTAAGAAGATAAAAGCGTTAGAATTAGAATGGTCAAATATCCTCAAATATTTGTAATTTGTCAGATACAGAGGTTTGGCATATTATGACGGCAGATTTAATGTGACTGACTATATATTACATTTTTTTGCTTTGGATTCGAAATATTGTAAATGATCTCGATTTTCTTAGTATTTTAATAAATTAACATCTTTATATGTGATGTACTAACTCTATAAACAGAAAATACCAACTAACCACAACCAACCAGCTATTGATGAAGTTAAACCTGCCATGTGAAAAAATTTGGTAATTTCTATTTGCATATTCATTTTTAAATACCTTACCCATTTAAATTGTTGACACTCTTTTTGCATTTGTTTGTGATGTCTCTTAAGTGTATCCATATATACAGTCTTATACAGTTTTGCTAGCAAATAAGCGATTTACCATTGCTTTCAACCATTGCGTTAGAATAAACAGGAGATGCTATCATGATACTAAAAGTTGCATTACACCTTTCATCTTGTGTCTGAGCTAATCAGTTTTGTTGAGAATAAATGCCATTTTTTTATAATAGCTTCATTTAAATGATATAAAAACATTTTCATTTTGACAATCTTGAAATATAAAATTATTGACTTCTAATAATAAAAAGTCGCCATTTTGATAACACTCTTCCTTCACACTTACTTGACCATTGATTCAAACGAAGACACTTTTTTGGCCAAATCAGACAGATTAAAAAAATGATAGGCAAAATTTTTAGTTATCATAGTTATCACCGTAAAATAGATAATAAGATTACACCTTTACATCTACCATCGATCGCTAAAAAACATAATATAAAGGGTGTTCCGCATAAGTACCGACACAGAACAGGTGCGTGTTGGGCACTCCAAAATATGATGATTTAACGCAATTTACCGCTACACCAAGTTGTACCCCTAAGGAGTTACGGAAGCCTATGCATTCCTAACATTATTTCCATCACTTTAAGGAAGTTCAAGAGATTGTCAGTGATCATGCGTATTCTAGGCCAATACTTCTTCCGGCGAAAATACGGGTTCTTGAAAACAAAGTATTAGTTCCAGCAACAATAACAAACTCAACAAATTACTTCAAGTACATACTAGGTATAATTGAGGTATATATTAAGATTATTTATTGGGGACTTATGATTCTTAGGCTCACACATCAAAGCAGGTGGGCTAATAAATGACCAGGTTTTCCCAATGAGCTTCGTAATAAGCAAATGCTTCAATTGTGTTTCACACAAATTTTGGTACATCATTTATTTTATTAACCCAAACTGATACTTGCCTCGGTCTAAATTGTGTTCATATCCCATTTAAATGTCAGAATAGAGTAGGTATCTAAAAAAACGACATACGTATTTAAAAGAATTAATTTCGAAAATCCATCAGCCCTATTCGTTTTATAAAATTAACGTCATATAATTATTCCTAATCTGAAAATTATTTAAACTTCTCCAGATTTTTAAATGTTTTTCTTTATATATATATTTATAATGTACAATGTCAGCTATCGAACGTTTACAATAGAATTGACTTGTTTTAAATTTCCTGTCTTGTAACTAGGCCTCGGCCTGCTGGAAATGTAAGGCTATTTAATATTTATTTATAAGTATTTTTCTTGTAATTTGCAAATAAAATAATTATTGTAATAGCTGCTGTAATAAAAATTAAAGTACTAATTTTTACATACCTATCTTATCTAGATTTCAAGTAAATACCTATTAGGTAATTAATCATATTCACATTATACCTATACATACAACCTGGTAAATTCCGAGTGTTAATTAATTAAGGTAAAATATTAAAACACATTTCTTTCAATATAAAATTGATACATTCAATAAACTGTAATAGTTTGAAGGTCGAAATAACAAAAATAATAATAAAGATACTGTTTAAGGAGGTCCTTTCGCCACCCCTTTCGCCACCAATGTTAAATAAAAAATATTAGATTATGACTAAAATTTATTTTTTTTCTAATAGTTGAAGTCCTTATTTATCTAATAGTGAACTTTTAACTATACCTTACCGTGCAAATTTTTGAGAATTTTTTTTTTAATGTATTTGTACAGTGTCTTACGAAAAAGTAAGACCTCAACAACAATTCTCGAATTATACTATTATTTATTGATTAGATGGAGTAGAAAAAAACTAAAAATAAGGTTCTTGAAATATTTAGGTTTTGTTTTTACAATAAAATATATAGGTTGCCGTGGAATTTATTGAGAAATTAATATTAAAAAAAAAATTCAAGTAACCTAGTTGAAATTTTTTTGTGATTTTTTAATATTAATTTCTCAATAAATTCCACGGTAACCTATATATTTTATTGTAAAAAACAAAACCTAAATATTTCAAAAACCTTATTTTTAGTTTTTTTTTCTACTCCATCTAATCAATAAATAATAGTATACTTAATTATAATTCGAAAATTGTTGCTGAAGTCTTACTTTCTCATAAGACACTGTACAAATACTAACATTTTAAAAATTCTCAAAAATTTGCACGGTAAGGTATAGTTAAAAGTTCACTAATAGATAAATAAGGACTTCAACTATTAGAAAAAAATTAATTTTAGTCATAATCTAATATTTTTTATTTAACATTGGTGGCGAAAGGACCTCCTTAATTGTTTAATATAGAAGAAATATTTTAAATCCGTCCCTGAATTCTATCCGCAGTATGAGAGAGATAGTTATAGTCAAACAAATTCTATGAGATGAAAGGTGCCGCAGCGAAGTCTCCCAGCTGGTTGTTATGGTAAGCTGTGACATTCACATACTGTAATCAAAGTATGTGTGTGACATTACATTGTCATCAATTTTGACAACAAAAGTTACAAGTAGTGGCTACCCTGATAAATTATTAAAAAAATATCTAAATGATCCATTGTTACATTTTCGGATCAGCTATGGCCTTTGTAGAATCACAAGTAAAAGAAACAGTGATAGCAAATCTTTGACCTTCAGTCACCCTCTCGACATAGTGTGGATTTTCGTGTCCTGAAGTAAACATAAGTACTCTACCTTTTTTGGGTTCGACTGTCACATTCTTAGTCGGCTTTTCTATGTTGTCTAAAAATATGAATCTGCCTCCTTTGTAATCCTTCTCATAATCGTTTAAGTATAGCAATGATGTGTAGTGGAATGATTCATAAGTACGCTAAAATAATTAACTTAGTTACCCTAAAGAAAGATTGTAAAGCATATAAAATTATTAGTTTTGAGAGAAACTAAAATGACTAAAATAAAATGTAGTCTACGACCCATTTCAAAGTGAAATATGCAAACCTTAATTATTATCGCTGCGAGTAAATTGAATACACCATTTGGTAAAGAGTTAATGGAATTAACCTTGCAGTTCCAAAAAGAAATTTCCTTAACCTGATACCACCTTTTAAAAATTGGAAACGCTAAGAACTTATATATTTTTTTAATGTAATGTATTATAAATTCGAGGGCCGCTTTTGGTGGTTCCCACCTAATCGAGACTTAGGTTCCTATGATGTCACGTTCGGAATATTTAAAGAATGTTTAATAATTTATTTGACCGAATGATAGTATTATAGAAAAAAAAAATGCATGTCGTTTGACAGTTGACTAGCAGTTGAAACCTGTATAAGTTGACAGGTCTTAAAAAAAAGTAGTTTAAATGTTTAAATAAATACAAATAGAAATAAAATGTTAATGAATACTTATAACTTCTATTTTTTTAAGTCTACTGTCACTGTAATTGACAGTAGAGACAAATTTTATCACTACTACTATAGTCTATTATACAGCCTTGCATAAAATAAGATCCATAAAAAATGTATTGCATTTAAAACAAAGTAAATCGAATTTTTTTAAAATCAATAGGGTTCAATGCTGGAATAAATTATAAAGTAAATAAAAACCATTCCAAGAGTTATTGTCGGAACACCTACATACGCACGCACATACCTTCACACGATTTTTTTTGGGTTTCGGACTCAAAGTGTTCAGAGACAAGTGTTAAAAAATTACAGTAAGAAAATTTTTTCATCAACACGAATGCCATACCGAGGCCCTATAGGTAGGGGAGCTCAATAATTTTTACCATATCTATTTATAAAAAGATGTAGAAATATTTTTGAATTTATAATAAATACCAAGAACTCTTAACTTATAAGTCATCCTATCTGCAAACAATAGCAAAATTATTTTAAGTGCTAATCAGTAATATTTTTAGGACATGCTGTATAAAATAAAAAGTAAATATTTAGAATTGAATGGTGACCATTTCAAAAATATTTTTTTTTATGTAAATATTAGGTAATTTATAAGTTATTTTATGTTTGTAAATAAGCAGTAAAATATATTAAGTACCTGTGTTAAACATTTCCCTAATTTTGCAAATACCAAATGTTTTGATAATATATATGTATAAATTATAAAAGGTGGTCCAAAATTATAAGCAGTAATTGCTAGAGCTGATAGTTCATTTAAAAATAAAGGTAGCTTTTCATATACACATTTAAAGGGTGAACTAACATGGTAAAATAGATTTTTATGGTATTTTGGTAAAATAGTGGTGTATTAAAACCATTATGAGCTCATTAGTAACAATAATTTACCTTCTAAAACTACCCCTCCTGTACAATAGATGGAACAAGTAGCAACAAAAAATTAAGTATCCTTATGCCATATATTTTTATTTACAATATGAACTTTTACAGTATCTCATTAGTTATTTGCATCTAAGAGAATGGACACTTGTGTTGTACAAAAGTAACAATATAATAAGATCTAAGATATAAAAATTATGTTTGCAATCCCTAAAGAAATATATAATTATATTTTAACTTTTTCTTAAAAATGTGGTTGTAGATAAATAGTGTATGGCACTCATGTAAGAAGCGCTTTTCAGTCATTGGTATCATTTTGCATGTCAAACATCTCTTATTTAAGTAATTAAAAAAATCTAAAACTGATTATACTCACTTTATCAATATGTTCATGCCAATATTCATCATGTCTTGTTTTAGGTTCAACACCTGTAAGTCTAGAAAAAAAGGTTGGATATGTTAAATGCAAACTATTAAATTCAATTCCAAAAGACTCTGCAATTGAGGTTTGAATTTTTTTTCGTACTAGTTGATATATCTTTTTTTCTTCTGCTGTAAGTACTTTATTTTCACCACTTTGGGCATAGACATTTATAAATGTATCTTTATATGACAAAGCTCCTGTGTGCAGGTCCATAATAGAAGCTCCACCTGATGAACCACCGTCTGCCATTACTAAAAAAAGATTCGTTTTCAAAGATAAAACTTATTTGTTTTTTAGCTATAACAAAGGAGCATTTGTGGCAAGGAGACAGTAGAATTTCTCACCTCGTATGGCTAGTTTCTTCAATATATCTGCTTCTTGGACAGTCACTATTTTATCACTAACATATCTACCACATTTTTCGGGAATGCATCCTTTGTACTGTTTTATGTCTTCTAGAAACTCAGTGCTACACTCAACAACTTGCGATCTTCTAATATAAGTTTCAGATTGTTTGGCTAGGACTGACTCTTTGGTACTTTTAGAGAAGTAAAATATGTAAATAACTACTCCTATGATTATGATACCTCTGCTCCAGACTCGTTGACTTGGAAAGGAAGGTAAGGGGCCATATTTACTATAAAAAAAATACATTTTATTATTGAGAATAAAACCAGATGTTATTTTTCATTGCCTCCATACTAATTTTGTTTTCCTCCGATATTAAATACAGTATCTGCTATTGAACGTTTTCCAATACAGTCTTCACAAGTGCATGTGAAAACTACAGAGAATTAGCAGGAAATGAATAATATCGGTAATGTTATAATTGAGTTTTATCTAATTGTAATCTATTTCATCAAAATAAAGTGTATTCTTACAATTTTTTTGTTTCTTTGCCTTTGCCATTTTTGTTGTCGTCAGGTACAGTTTGTTTTTCAGGTTTCTCGGCGACACCATTATTAGATTTTTCTTTGCGTCTTTTTGTTACTTTAGATGGAGAGGTCATTTTATTTCTATTGTTTATCCCTTAAAAAAATAAAATATAAAAACTACCGTACATTTTTCTTTTTACTTAGGTACTATGAAATAAAATATTAAAATTCAATTGTAAAAGCTTGAGTACATATTATTGATTCTAAAATTAACAAGAGGCTTAAGATAACACAAACATATCTAATTTTCAAGTAGTATTGATGATATTCTAATTACCTATATAATTAGGTAGTTATAGATTTTAAACTTACCAATATATGTATTTAAGATTCCAATAGAAGTGTTATTTGAAGTAAAAATTGTTGATTTTGTTCTTCCATCAGAAATATTTTTAAATATTGTTTGTTCTCTACAAAATCAGCAATCCAATAAATTACTTTTTTGTTTACATCCGTATTTCCGTTCCGTATCCGTATGTGGAATAATAGGCACAACCACAAAATGTCACTCTTCTTCATCTTTTTTATTTTATAGTACACATTGACCTATAGGTAATTTGGTTACCTTTGGGGAAGTATTTATTTTTAAAACACAGGCATAAGCGCCGACTTTTATTTATCTCCAGCAGGGTTATTCTACTAAATTTATAGCCCGGCTACAAGTTGGATTTTGAAGTTAGGAAGATATAAAGTTCAAGCCAAAATCCAACTTGTAGCCGGGCTACAAATTTAGTAGAATAACCCTGGTTCTGTGTTTATCTCCAGGAAGCCGAACCAACACATCCGAGCTAAAAAAAGGTCCTTGAAGTCACATAATGTGGTGAGGACATGTCGTTGCAACATTTTATGTTACCTTCACCATGCACATATCAAATCAAATTTACATTTTTTAACAATTTTTTTAAGACCCGCCTAAACAAAGTTTGTGTGCGGAATCTTTATACCTATTAGTTTTTTTTACGTTTTATAAATGCTGTTTAATTTAAATCTAAGTATATACTATAGAAACAAAAACAAAGAATTTAGAATTTTAAAATACAACAAAAAAAAAAGAAAAAGATAGAGAAATATGGAAATACAAAAATCAAAACAATTATAAAAATAAAAATTAGCAGAAATTATAAAAATAGCAAAAATAATAAATAGCAAAAATAATAAAAATTATAAAAATATAAAATACAAGACTAATAAAGAAAAAGAAAAGAAAGGCTACTCTCTAATACTGAAGAATATGTAATTATGTAGCATGAAATTAATATAAAACATTAAATATTTCCTTCTTAATTTTACTGTAGTTTTTCTGTACAAATATTTTAAGTTCATTTTTTAAAGATCGTTCATTTGTAATATTTTTTATGTATGTAGGAATTAGGTTATATATTTTGGGGCCAAAATACGAGATAAAGTTTTGGGTGTGCATTTTTTTAAAAAGAGGAAAATTGGCATATGCTTATTTAGTAGAGCTCTTGTGGAAGTAGTGTGTAAAAGCTTAGGAAGTTTTTCAGTATTAGAAATTGCCCATAAAGATGTTTGGTAAATATATAGTTGTTTAATATTGAAAATGTCTAATTCTTTATATAATAGGTTTGTTGGATATCTAAGGTCCTTCCTGAACAATAATTTTAACAACGTATTCTGTGTCGAGTGCAGCCCATCGAGAGCGTTGTCTAGAAGCCCACCCCATATTAGAATGCCATATCTTAGCAGCGACTCAGCCAAGGCATTATAAATGAGTAGTAGGAGTTCTTTTTTAAGAATATCTCGAATTTGATAAAATAAATATATAAGTTTTCTTAATCTCTTGTTTAAAAAAATGTCATGTTCGTTCCATCTCAGATGTTGATCAACCATTAACCCCAAATATTTTATTTTATTTTCTTTTTGTATCGTTACACACTGACAAATCGGTCCTTTATTGCAGTTATGATTGTGAAGCTTTAAAATCTGTTGATTTGGTTGATCAGCATTTGTTAGTGAAAATGTAATAAATTTTGTTTTGGAGACATTGAGACTCAGAAGACTATTATCAAGCCACATCTTTATCTTACTCAAACCATCCTCAGCTTTTAGAAAGACTTCTTTCCAGCTCTCCCCAGTAGATGTAATTGGCCGGTTCTGGAAATGAGAAAGAGGTACAGAGAGAGGTAATTGGGTAATTAGTAATTATCCTAAGTACCCCCCACCCTTCGCGCAATTAGCAAGTACCTCCCAATTACATCATGTACTGTAATAAGTGCAATTGCACAGTAAGTACCACCCAATTACATCATGTACTGTAATAAGTGCAATTGCACAGTAAGTACCTCCCAATTACCATGTACACGCCATACTGTAATGATTGTAATTGCATAATAAGTACCTCCCAATTACCCACAGGGTATACATCTCATTACTCCATACATATTAAAGTGTAAGTACACCTTAGGTAGTAATTACTGTATGCAATGTAGTGTAGTGAATGTTATCTAAGTGCCTCCTAGTGATTACTGTTGGCAGCACGTCCTTAGCTCTCGGCCGGCGTGCCTAGAGTGCTTAGCTTGCGTTAGAGACGGTCGTGCTTAACCGAAATATCGAAGTAAGGGACTAAGAAGGGGTAGTATGCGCCAGAGATAGACGCACAATTACCATGTACACGCCATACTGTAATGATTGTAATTGCATAATAAGTACCTCCCAATTACCCACAGGGTAAGCATAGTGTAATGGGTGTAATTACTTCATACATATATAGATGTAAGTATTTACTATGTATATCGGGTAGCATGTAACGAGCATAGTAAGTACCTCTTAGATAGTAATTACTAGGTATAGGATATAGTGTAATGAGTTAAGTCTAAGTACATCACAATGATTACTATTGTAGCATAGGGAAAATACGTCGGAGCATACCTTGACTCTCAACCCTCATAGCTATAGTGAAACGCTAGTCTCCAGCAGACGCGCAAGACGTAAACATCGGTGGAAGGGATAGTTCCCCATTCTTCACAAAATTAGCGTGTACCTCTCAGGCTTGTATATTATGAATATGAGTTGCATAGTAAGTATTTTTCAGATACCATATACACCATGTTTAATGAATATCATAAGTACCTCTCATCACCCCATACACATTGAAATGTAATGAGTGTAGCTACCTTGTACATATAGTAATTTCTATGCATGTCATGAAGTGTAATGAGTAATTTAAGTAGCTCTTGGTTATTACTATTGTAGCGTATATAGCATTTTGTATCCTAAGTACATTCTAAATAATAGACATAAATGGGGGATAAAGTCCGCACATCCTTGACTCTCGACCACCATGATTAGAGTGAGGAACCGGCCGGGCGCATCACGGCATGAATATCGAGGCAGGAACTTGGAAAAAGTGGGGGATTTAGTTAACAAGTACTTCTTAATTCTAAACCCACTGTACTGAGTCTAATTGCATAGTAACCCAGCTAGCACAAAAACATCCCATCTACGTTAATAAGCTGCAATTTTAGGCTCTTTAAGCTCGCATGCAATGTACTGTAAATGTAACCCTTATATCCCTGCAACTACCGAATGTCCGCAGCGGCAAGACTTTTATAGCACATCTCACAGAAGTTACAAAGTGAAGTTCGAAAAACATCACACTAGCACTTTTACGGTACTTACCCCGAAAGTTGCTCTGAAACGTTCTATTGATGTTATAATGTGAATTAGATCTACAGCATTATACAGTGTGTCCACGGATGGGCTTAACTATACTTGTGAAAATATTTATTTTAAATTAAAAAAGTAATTCTTCATAATTTCTTGCTTGTTAAATAAATTCGATTCACATTGAGAAATTATGAAAAACAACTTTTTCTTTAATTTAAAATAAATATTTTTACAAGTATAATTAAGTCCATCCGTGGACACACACTGTGTAATGTAATACAGAGAGGCTGAAATTGAGGCTATAGTAAAATCTCAATCGAGACATGAAAATTTCAAATAAAACAAAATATTTATATAAATTTATTATTAAAATGTTCTTGAAATCAAGTACCAATAGCACAAAAGTAGAGGTAGGTGTAGGTGTGTTCTTTTATTCAGTGCTGTATCCAGCGCTTGCAGCAAACCGTTCGTAAATTAAGTGATGGAAAGACGATTGTATGTGTCAATCATTCTTTTTTCCAGCGGTGAATTCACCAATGAGCCAAGGCATCCATCGGCTTTAAAAGCCGATGGATATGTGATAGACGAATGGTGAGGATAATCAATCATTTAAGTTAACCTAAAATATAAGAGTTCAAATATAAAATGACTGCAGAATAGATAAATTACATCAATCACTGATGGAACAATTATTGAATAAAAGAACACACCTTATATCACAAACACAAGTACACATGTGGGATAGAAGAAGCTACCTAGAAAGCACTGAACGATTGGACAAAATTAGCTAAATAGTATAATAAGGTACCAATATTGCAAAGGTTCACTAAAACCTTAAATGGTGAACGATGATAAAGCTAGATTGGTGAAAAATAATAAACGAATACAACAATGACTAGGTACATATTATTATATTAGATTACTAGAGGATAGCTAAGTTCGCTGATTTCTTACCTAAGACGCAGAGATATATCTTTTTTAAATCAAGCCTTTTAACTTTTTTTGCATAGATATTTATAAAGTGCTATAATGTAACCTAAATATGACAATTTATTAGAAGAGCATAAATTATATTTTTATATAAAAAGATTTTACTTCTCAATACATTGAATAAAAAAGAAATTGATAACTTGTTTACCTATTATTAATTAAAGGAAATTATATAGAAATTAAAAAATATGCCTTACTTTGTTGTTTTAAATAAAACAACTAATGTTAGTGTATTGAAATTTGTTTGAATTTTACAAATTTTATGCTTGATTTCCAAAGTAGATATATTGATGGCTCAATCAAAAACCGCCACAAGTCAAAAAACAAAGCAATTACATTTTTGGTTCAATGGATGCAAAATATCATTACGGTTTTACTTTAAATACCATCACAAACAAAAATATCCTTAAAGATAAATCATTTAAAATGTAGCCACAAACTGTGTCTAAAACTGCCTCAATTCGAGTTATTTTCTTCA